GCTCTCCAAGATGTTCCTGCTCTGCCTTAACTACTGGAAGCTGGAGACACCGTCCCAGTTCCGACAGCGCTCTCAGAACGACGATGTGGCCACCTACAAGGTCAACTACACAAGGTGAGGGCAGGAGGGGGTCCAGGCCAGTCAGCTGGGGGGGTCTGCCCGCTCCTGCCATCCCTGCATGGGGCTGACCCCTGACTCAGGGGGCTGAGCCTTGTCCCTGCTCCTAGCAGTGTTGTCCCAGCAGGGATGCAGGTGCTCTGGGGTCACTGTCCCGGCCCTGTTACTGGAGCGTGTCCTTGTCACCTAGGTGGCTGTGCTACTGCCACGTGCCACAGAGCTGTGATAGCCTTCCTCGCTATGAGACCACCCACGTCTTTGGGCGCAGCCTCCTGAAGTCCATCTTCACTGTCACCCGTCGGCAGCTGCTGGAGAAGTTCCGGGTGGAAAAGGACAAGCTGGTGCCAGAGAAACGAACACTGATCCTCACCCACTTCCCCAAGTAGGTGTCCCATGTGCAGGCTCTGGGAGCCTGGAGCCACGGGGCTGTGCCTGCCTGGTGCCAGCCAACATGCTGCTCCCTGCCAGGTTCCTGTCCATGCTGGAGGAGGAGATCTATGGTGAGAACTCTCCCATCTGGGAGGCCGATTTCACGGTGCCGGCCACTGAGGGTGCCCAGCTGGTGTCTCGCCCAGGTATTGTGGGAGCAGCTCCCCCTGCCCGGGGCTGCTGGGTGTGGGTGAGCCTCGACGCTGGTAGGCAGTGTGGTGAACTGATTTCTGGCAGTCATGGGTATTGTTGGTCTCTTCCAGCCACAGTCAGCACCGTCGCTGTGCCCAGTACTCCACTCTTCAGCAAGAAGCTCAGCAACAGCAGCTCTGCTGCGAGCATGGATGCCAGCACCCCAGAGCCCCTGCCAGGTAGGGCCGGACACAGCCCATTGGAGCTGGGACCCTCTTTGAGTCCCTGCTGCTGCTGGAAGTGTCACTTGGCTCCACTCCCCAGGGGAGAAGCGGAAGCTGCCCGAGAGCCTGACGCTGGAGGATGCCAAACGTATCCGGGTCATGGGAGATATCCCCATGGAGCTGGTGAACGAGGTCATGCTGACCATCACGGACCCCGCTGCCATGCTGGGCCCCGAGGTATGGCAGGGGTCGCTGAGGTGGCACCAGTGCTTTCTGGAGCTGCTTTCCTGGTGTTGGGTTCCCCCCGGGGGGTGTGCCAGGGCCAGTGAACCCTCCCATGTCCCCCAGACCAGCCTGCTGTCGGCAAACGCAGCGCGGGACGAGACGGCCCGGCTGGAGGAGCGACGCGGCATCATCGAGTTCCATGTCATCGGCAACTCGCTCTCGCAGAAATCCAACAAGAAGATCCTGATGTGGCTGGTGGGCTTGCAGAATGTCTTCTCCCACCAGCTGCCCCGCATGCCCAAGGAGTACATCACTCGCCTCGTCTTTGACCCGTGCGTGGCTGGGGGGCGTGGGGGGGCCGGTGCGGGGGGTCCCGTCTCACCCTTGCCGTGCTGCCCGCAGGAAGCACAAGACCCTGGCGCTGATCAAGGACGGTCGTGTGATCGGTGGGATCTGCTTCCGCATGTTCCCCACCCAGGGCTTCACAGAGATTGTCTTCTGTGCCGTCACGTCCAACGAGCAAGTGAAGGTGGGAGCAGGGAGGTGGGTGGTGGGCTTGGCAGGGGGGGCTGTGGTGGCTGCAGGGTTGGGGGGCAGCAGGGGCTCCATGTCTCATGGCATCACCACCAGGGCTATGGGACGCACCTGATGAACCACCTGAAGGAGTATCACATCAAGCACAACATCCTCTACTTCCTCACCTATGCAGATGAGTACGCCATTGGCTACTTCAAGAAGCAGGTGGGCTCCTTGGCCAGGGTGGCTCTCCTCAGTCCTCCTGCCCCCCAGCCCCTCCCACTTGCCCTCTCCTTCCAGGGCTTTTCCAAGGACATCAAGGTCCCCAAGAGCCGCTACCTGGGTTACATCAAGGACTATGAGGGAGCGACCCTGATGGAGTGTGAGCTGAACCCCCGCATCCCCTACACTGAGCTCTCCCACATCATCAAGAAGCAGAAGGAGGTACATCCCGTGGGCAGGTGGGCACTGCCAGGTGCTCCCTGCTCTGGCTCCTACCTGCTGAAGGCAGGGTAGAGGTGTGGGGATGGGCCAGCCTTTGGGCACTTGCCTTGAATGTCCTCTGGACAGGCTCACAGGGCAGGGTAGGGACAAGGGCATTTGTGGTGGCCAGAGTTGGCTCCAGCCCTGGGCAGTGGGTGCAGCCAGTGCTCCAGGCCTGTGGGGTCAGAATTTGGCTCCCTGGAGCATTCTCCAGTCCCTGCTCACCTCCCACCTTCCCACCACAGATCATCAAGAAGCTGATCGAGAGGAAGCAAGCACAGATCCGCAAGGTCTACCCTGGCCTGACCTGCTTCAAGGAGGGAGTGCGACAGATCCCCATCGAGAGTGTCCCGGGCATCCGTGAGTCCTGCCAGGGGGCACGGGAAGGGAAGACCTGGAGGAGGGGAGGGTGGGGGGACATTGACTTGATATCCCTGGGGCGGGTGTGGGGACATTCAACTTTGTCTTTTAGGAGAGACGGGATGGAAACCACTGGGGAAGGAGAAGGGGTGAGTGCTGCACGGGGGGCTTGGCTGGGGCTGCTCCCTATTCTGGCACTGGGATGGGGAGGTGTGGGAGTGCTGGGATGGGGAGCAGGGGGGCAGTGAGGTGGGGAAAGGCTGCCCACCCCCAGGCTGATGTGTGCTGGTTTTGTCCTGCAGAAAAGAGCTGAAGGATCCGGACCAGCTCTACAACACCCTGAAGAACCTCCTGGCCCTGCTCAAGGTGCAGGCAGGAGAAGACCCTCCACTCCAGGGTGCCTGTCCCCCTGTCAGCCCTTGGAGCTGCCTGCCTTGTGGGGGACAGGTGGGGTGACCCAGGCACATGGGGAGCAGGACCTCTGTGTGCTGGGGCAGGCCGGGGCTGGCTGCTATAACCTGCCCCCCACCTTCTCCCCAGACCCACCCGAGCGCGTGGCCCTTCATGGAGCCGGTGAAGAAGTCAGAGGCACCGGACTACTACGAAATCATCCGCTTCCCCATCGGTAGGTGGTTGTGCCCAGACCCCTGGGCAGGATGGTGGAGGAAGAGCTGCAGGACCCCAGGGAGGGAGGCTGTGCTGGGGACATGGTTGGGGTGATGGGGTGCTGGCAGCCTTAGGATGGTCTGGAAGAGAGAGGAATGGGTTGGGACCCTCAGTTGGTGTCCAGCTCTATGGCTGGGGGGGGTGGAGGTGTGGGGACACCTGACCCTTCCCCGTCCCCAGACCTGAAGACCATGACTGAGCGCCTGAAGAACCGCTACTATGTCACCAAGAAGCTGTTCATCGCTGACCTGCAGCGCATCATCACCAACTGCCGCGAGTACAACCCACCTGACAGCGACTACTGCAAGTGTGCCAACACCCTGGAGAAGTTCTTCTACTTCAAGCTGAAGGAAGGGGGACTCATTGACAAGTAGGGAGCTGGCCTGGACTCACCTTGGCCACTCAGTCCCCCAGGAAGGACAGGGATGCCCCTGGGACCTGGCCCTGCTCCAGCGGCTGCTGGAGGGTTTCTTGCTGCTGAGCAGCCCAGGGGAGCTGGGTCTTTTCTCAGGCGGGCTGCAGGGAGAGGAGGGAACTGGTGCTTTTATCCCTGAGTTCTCAGCTGCCTGTCTCACAGGGAGGGGCTGCAGTTGCCATGTCAGGGTCTGCCCAGGACAGTGCTGAGTTCCTACCTCTCCCTGGGGGCCAGGAGCCTCCTGGCACCGGCGCTTCCCTCCTCCCCAGGGTTGTGCCTTCTGCCCTGGCTCTCTGCCCCAGGGAAGGGGCACATAAGTGCTTTTGTTTTCTGCTCCTGTCCAGGTGTGGGCAGCCCCTGCCTCTCTTGAATGTATGTGGGGCTCAGCCCTGCCTGCCTGGGTTGTTTCTGGCCCAGGGGCCTGCTGTGAGGGGGGGCTCTGCCTTTGTGTCCCCCAGCTCCTGCTGCCTCTATCAGCTCTTCCTTTCCTCTGGGGCAGGTCTGTACAGCCCCCCTGGCTGCTCCTGTTCCAGCTCCTGGGGCAGAGGGGACGGGGGGGGGGGGGGCCCCTGCAGAGCTGCTCTACCCCCGGGTGGGGGTCAGCTCCTGCTTGCAGCTCCCCCCTCCCTGCCCCCTTCCTGCTGGCTCTGCTCTCCCTGTGCCTCCTTGGCTTTTAGGAGGGGGAGCACAGACCCCAGCACTGACTTATGCCCTCTCTTGCTTGGTTGCCTACTGCCTTGTGTCCCCCCTGTGCTGTCATCGCTCTGTGGGTGCTAGTGATGCTCTGCCGCTCACTGGGGTGGGACCAGCCCCCTCCACCCGTCCCACTTGACAATTGTTTTGTTTGGGGTTTGTTGGGGTTTTTTTTTTTAAATAAATGTCCCTGTGCAGACACTGCTGCGTCCTTGAGCCCGGCCCCGCAGGCGACAGCCGGGGATGCAGGGGGGTGTTTGATTTGGGGAGAGGGGCGGGAGGATGCCGAGAGCGGGGCGGG